ATATTGCAAAATATCTCGTCACATAACATACAAAAACCAACAGTTGAATTAAGAACTTCCTTCTCATTTAAGTCAGCTTAAAAGTAATAAATTTACTTGAACTTCGGTGAAATAACATTGGAAATAATCAAGCAAAGTTTATGGTTGTAAATATTATATAATTTACAACCATAAACTTTGCTTTATATATATTTCAAAATTTTCTTAAAGTAGAACTTAAAATTTAATTTAGTTAAATACCAAAATCGTACAAACATAAAATCGAAATTAAAAATTACAAAAAGGAAACAATATCTAAGGCCCCGGCGAGATTCGAACTCGCGATCTCCTGTTTACTAGACAGGCGCTTTAACCAACTAAGCCACGGCGCCGATGTTCACATATTTAAAAATTTAGTTTTAAATATAATTTAATTTACAAAACGTATTATATACAAATAAAGATACAAAAACTTTATTTTCACATATAAATATTACAGTAAATGTTTCATTGAATACATAGGCTCCCAAACTAGTGTAAAGTTGTGTGTCAGGAGCCAGTGGCCTCTCCCATAACATTGCATTATTAATTTACGCCTTAACATAACATTATAACTTATTAAACAGAACGACTCAAAACATGAAAACAAAGTTAATAAAGAAAGGGCTTCTCACTAGCGCATGTGTGTGTGTGTGTGTGTGTGTGTGTGTGTGTGTGTGTGTGTGTGTGTGTGTGTGTGTTTGTGTGTGTGTGTTTGTGGTGTATGTGCGTTTGTGTCAGTAATAAAAACCAATTAACATATATCCTACATCTTATGTAGATTATTTTTGATTGTCAAGTTGTTTAGCCATAGCCATAACAATATATGCTTCTTAATAACGTTTTTTTTATAGGATTGGGTGACAAACGAGCACACAGTCCACCTGATGGTAAGTGGTTACTGTGACCCATAGACATCTACATCTATCCTCAATAAAGACTCAAGATGCAGATGCGTTGTCACCCGTGAGGACTAAGATGGAATGCCTCTTTGCCAGTAAAAAGGGTCTCCGGTCTTAATAACGTTATTATTGCACATTGAATAAAACTATTTTTACGGATTTTATCGCGTTTAATTAACTTATTTTATATTCCTGACGTTTCGGTTGCTTTCCAGCAACCGTGGTCACGGGGGACTGAGGTGATTGACGTCCCGATGTCAGTGTTAAACCTGAGTACCTTCAGCTGTTTTTTTGGTTGAATGTTACGAATGGCGAATATTATCAGTATCTCTCTTACGTTTCCATATTGCAATATTAGGATCACTCGTAGCTTGCGTGCGTGAAACAGTAGGCACCGCAATAGTAGCATTTGTCGGCGAGTCGGCGATATTAGAGTTCGACTTACAATGCTACATTGCGGTTGGCGTAGTAGGCGGGGTGGGTTTAAGGCTTTAAGCGGCATAATAGCGGGGCGTGAGCGACGTACGGGGTAAGGACCAGGCAAACAGAATAAAAGCAATGCGCGTAGGCAAGCAGTCGTGCACTAGTATGCAGCTTGCGTACGTATACAGTGAGCAATTACAACTTATCACAGTGCAAGTGAATGCCTTGTTAGATTCACTCGCTATTAACACACGGCGACGGTACAGGCTTATAATTTATGCCCTCCTATTTCGTACAATTTAACACTTCTCAATTTTGATTAAAATTATAACAGTGATATGAAAATATGAACTAGTACAAATTACGTCTGATTAGCACAGAGATCCGGGGAAGAAGGAAAAAGAACAAAAAAAAAAGAAAAAGTACAAAAAGGAAACAATATCTAAGGCCCCGGCGAGATTCGAACTCGCGATCTCCTGTTTACTAGACAGGCGCTTTAACCAACTAAGCCACGGCGCCAATGTTCACATAGTTTAAAAATGTAGTTTTTAATATAATTTATTTTATTTACAAATGGTATTATATGATGCTCGGCTACTCATGCCTAAAACAGTTTAAGTACCTCTATGTATCAAGCTTCTTAATTCATGCACTGCGCGCTGGCAGCCCTTGTTTCTTGGTACAGATGAAGGTTTGATGTGACAACATTTATATTTAATAAGTATGTGCTTTACGTCCATGCTTGTGCCATGAAAAATAACTTACTCCTGCTGTTTGTGAGAAACTGTATAATATGATTTAATGTTATTATTTATAATTATTATGTAGGTTAGCTCAATTTCACAACAATAATAATCAAACAACATTATACATGATACATTTTAAAATATTAAAATATACAAACTTTTTTAAAACGATAAAGAGTGAAAATGATCACTTGTTATAGTTCGCAATGTGATTTCAAAGCGTTTTTGCTGACTTTTACAACATGAATCGATTTGTGTGCGTTATAAATGAAAAAAATATTAAAACTTCCGATGCGAAATTTATTATTTATTAACTGGTACCAGGCGCGTAGCTGTCGGTGAAGAAATATTTGTGGAAATATCGTTTCAAAATTAGAAGAGTTCTATTGTTTAACACATTCATTGGAATAAATGATATATCTTTCAAATAAATTAGTCGGTGCGATAAGCGCTCCACCTACTGTAAGTTAATTGTACTATGCCTTTAACATTCGCGAAAGTGCAAAGTTTTACCGCAATCTGATGGAAGATATAGCAGCACATAAAATACGAACAAACAAATATAAATCTTTACATATCAGATAATCTCGCCGTACAAACATAATATGTTCTCTTTTTTTTATAGAATAAGGGTGACAAACGAGCACACAGTCCACCTGATGGTAAGTGGTTGCTGTGGCCCATAGACATCTACATCAATCCTCGTTTGCGAATTAAAATGCAGATGCGTTGTCAGCCGTGAGGACTAAGATGGAATGCCTCTTTTCCAGTAAAAAGGGTCTCCAGTTCTCTACACTTACCATACGAAACACAGCAGCATTAAGCTGCTATTTTACGCTGGTATTCTGTGAGAGCGTGGTCCTTCCCCGGTCGAACCGACCCATTCGTGCTACAACCATGCTATTAATATAGCTGCAGCAAGGCTCTACCACGTATAAAATCTCTCTCATGTTTTCTATGTTTATAATGCTCTAAATGACATTTTAATGTGACAGATCAATTTGGATTGTTGTAAATATTGCGGCAACAACTACTAAGTGAAGAAAATATTATGGATATATCGATCTGTTTTATGAATTGATGGTGTAACTGTTACTTGTTGGAATTTTGATACTTTTTATTTTTTGTTATTATTTTGTAAGGATGTACGCATTTATTTTAATCTCTATAGTTAATAAAGAAAAATAATCGAAAATAGATATCAAAATGTTCAATTAAATCGAGAATCGATTATATTGCGCTCGTTTCAAATCGAATCGAAAATCTTTCTTTTTCTTTTAAGTAAATAGTTTGAAGTTTGAACTGTCAAGTCAAGTTTCAAAATGAGAAGTACTCTATTGGAAGACAACGTTCAGAAACGAGATTTATTGTCATAAATAATACACTACAATCGATTTTCTAACTTATTTCTTATTTTGTTGTTTTTTCGAAATCTGGATTGTAAAAAAAGCTACTTTTTTGTGTTTTACTTAGGAAAAATATGGCTAATTTTTTTAGAGTATAAACCAATTAGTTAACTTCAGGCCCAAAAATCCCATTCTCCTTTTCATTGCACGAATTTCTTAGTTAACGGGAATCTTAATTATTAATATTCAGTGTGCAGTATTCGCATGAATATGGAAAATCAGTTAATATTTTTAAACAGGCATCATCAAATATTTAACTTATCGTAACCTATATTATACATTCAATTTCCGGATGCAGGTTTACTTGTTTCTGAGATGTTTTTTGATGGCTTAAATTTGGATTCAATAAAGTAAAGATGTCACTTCTTGTGCAAAAGTAATTTATTTTTTTTGGACAAGAGTTTCAAGCAAAAGAAGTTATGTTATGGTTTGCGCACAAATAATCAACCGAGAAAAGACTACGCTTTCACAGAAAACCAGCGTAAAATAGCAGCTTAATGCTGCTGTGTTTCGTGTGGTGATTGTAGAGAAACGGAGACGCTTTTTTCAGGATACAAGACATTCCATCTTAATCCTCAGAGATGACAATGCGTCTACATTGTTATTCTTAATCGAGGATAAATGTAGATGTATATGAGCCACAGCATGCACTTATCATCAAGTGGACTGTGCGCTCGTTTGTTACCCGTATTCTATACCAAAGAGAATACGTAAGCTTACATCAATTCTTTCCATGTTCATTGCACTATTACACATAGTCCACATAGTTAGTGGGTACAGTACTCCACTGGCCTACTTTAAGCAAAGAAGGGCCCATATGATCGATCATTTTAGAAGACTAAGATAGATCGAACCACACTCACTTACATACATGATGCAGTATTGTTCGGCGGCAGAAATTTAAAAGAGGATGGTATCATGGATGGATCAGACAAACAATTAGACTAGAGAGAAGAATCTAAATATTGTTGAAGATATTGATTGTATTCTGTTTGTAATTCCTTTACCTAAAGCTATTTAATACTACAATAATTGACATTATTTTAGTATTGTTAACCCATATGAGGAACACAGCCCAACAGATCAATAAGAAGAGGTGATAATAGGCCGTCCATAAAGCTCGAATAGCCGACAACCAATGGCTTAAAAAGTTTTTCGATTAGTATCCGCGTACTCGTAGCAAAGTGTAGGGCTGCCCCCAATAGAAGAAGCGACAACCTGATACGAGATGCTGGAATTCGATGGATGCATGTGGCTTTAGACGACGTGTTGTGGCTTTCCTTGGGGATGCCTATGCTCAGCAGTGGACTTGTGAAGAGCTGTAATGAATGAAAGAAAAATAATGACAGTTGTTACATTTCATTTATTTTATTTATTACTAGCAATTCATACTAACTACAGTTTAATATAATATATACAGATAAAATGTAAGACGTAATATATTTTGCTTTACTTTATAGTGTTAATTTTAATTTAAAACATTATATTAGTATTTAATAATTCATTCATTCCCTTATTTTAAACCTCAACCAATGTCCACCTTTGAGACGGAATTTTAAATCTGCATTGTCCACCACTTCCGGTATGCACGTCTTTTCGCACGGAGACAGTTCCAAATGCTTTAAAATCTGATACAACATCACCTTACATTCCCAAAGAGCAAATCTGGAAGCTATAATATAAAGTTAATATTAAACATATACATATTAAAGTTAACTGAAATGTCTGTCTGTAATATTGAAATAACTGACGTATATTAAGCTATTGATAACCATTTTTATAAATTTTATCTTTCTGTGTATCTGTTCGGGCTTATCTTCGAATTGGCTGAAATAATTATGTTAAAAAGTTTACAAACAAATAGAGAGCGATTCCACGAGAAATCTAGAATATATTTTATTCAAAAATCTTGAATAACATGATAACATAAATAGTATTTGATTATCTTAAGTCAAAATAGCGCCACTTTAATTGACCTTATCCGGGCGAAGCGGGGCCACGTCGTTAGTTATACATATTGATGTACAAAAGTACAGATCAGTAAACTGAAGTGACAAATAGCAGGCTTAATATTCTCTTGCGATGGCCAACCCGCTTGCCAAGCGTCGCTACTATGGCAAAAATCCACCTATGAGGCAATCTTTGGGGTAGGCCTTAATTCTGGAGTGAACTTCAACACTGTAATTTAATGAATTACCACTGCTATGAAATTGTAAGTATAATAATGATTCTGCATAAATCACTTACCGACACAGTTCCTTGGACCCAGGCCAAACGGCATGTAGGTTAATGGTTTAATAAGATGTTTGTTAGACTCTGAGAATCGTTCAGGATCGAATTTTTCTGGGTTCGGGTAAAATTCAGGATCACGGTGTATGGCGCATGCTGGAATCTTGACAACCTCGCCTTTCCTTATCTGAACACAGAATAATATAATCCGTAAGAAAAGATCTCATATTTATTGTTAAATACAATCCTGATAAAATCCTATTCACTACTATTGTAAGATCGGTTAAATTAACCCATCTCTATTATATTTATTATATGGCTAATTTTCTCTTTAGTATTTCCGCCTCTGGGGAAACCATTATTATCTTATAATAGACTTTCCCTTAACTTTTGTTTAGATCCAGATCTTTATTCATTCTAACGAAATATCGATCTATGTGTATATATAGTCAAAAGGGAAGGGTTAGTTACAATTTCATAAGAAGTAACGAAAATTGACATTCCCATAATTTGATTGAAACTCTGTACTTTATTATACACCAGATAAATAGAAGTAAAAAAAAAAACAAATTAAAAGACTTGCTCCAATCGACAATCAAGTCAAGATCTTTGTTTCATAAGCCTATGTTTTGGAAAAATCCACCAACTTGGCTTGCGCATATACTTGAAGATCATATGCATACAGGTTATAGTCAGAAGATAATTGGAGCGTATGCGAACTTATGAAGATTGAAAATAGGAGAGAAAACAACACGCCCCCTTGTGGTATACCGGCATTGATCGTGCACCCATTGGAGAACGAATCATCAACACGTGTCCATTGCCGGCGACTAAATGAGTAACTATGAAACCAGTAAATCATTTCAGGAGATTTATTAAGAGAAGCTAAGATAGCTAACAGGAGGTCGAAATTGACATTGTTGAATGCATTGCTAAAGTCAACGTAATTTTTAGTTTCAATAGCATGACGAATATCCTCGATAATGACTATGGCAGTAGTCGTACTACAAATAATCCAGCGTACTTTAGAACGGGTTGTGAAGTTTTAAATTATTTTGTAAAATCAGTGACATACAACAGCGGTAGCAGCGAGGAGGACTTTTATACATTATATAGAAGACATGATGGTAGAACATGGTCGAAACTTGAAAGTACACAGATGGTGAAGTTCTTTTGCTTAAAAAACGGACAGTTATAAACAAACATATTTGCCAAACATCGGGACTGCACCTAGGCACTTATTACGTATAGTTGAATAGATTCAATCGTTACCTTGCGGAAATACATTTTATTAAAGTTGGTAAAAAAATGAAGTGATGTGTTTAAATAAAACTATTTTTACGGATTTTATCGCGTATATTAATTTATATTCTCGACGTTTAGAGCACTTTACAGCACCCATGGTCACAGGGGGACTGTTTCAGAGAGTACGAGGGATCTGTTATAGTAAACACTTGGCCGCCGAGCTCAAAACAGGTCAAGCAAGTTTTGCACGATAATAGGCTTCGGGTCCCGCGGCTACGTCACAGTGAACGAGTGAATACGTGCCTGCTGTACTGCCATATGTCAGAGGTGACACCGAAGAAGATTAGTCAGTTTTTACCATCAGTCAAGTGTAATGTCCCTCTGCAAGATGCAGGAGTGTACAAGCTTAATTATGAATGTGGTCTCTCTTATATAGGACAAACTAAAAGATCTATAAAAACCCGCGTTAAAGTACACATAGCTGATGTGAAGAATCTACGCTCTGGGAAGTCTGCAGTCTGTGAACAAGTACAGGATCCCCCCCGTCATTAAATTAGATTTGATAGATCACAAACCCTTGCTAAGGAACACCGACTCCTTCCAAGGATGATTCGCGAGGCTATTGAAATCAAAAAACATCCTAATTTTAATAGAGAAGATGGCTGGGTGCTACCATCTGCTTGGCATCCCATAATTAATAAAATTAAATCCCAACCCAAGCATAACTCTGCAAGACATCAAGAAACTGTAAGTTCATACTACGTAGATCGGAACAATAATTAATAATTTTTGTTCCGATCTATATATCCGTCATACACCTCAGACCCCCCGTGAACATGGGTGCTGTAAAGTGCGCGAAACGTCAGGAATATAAAATAAGTTAATATATGCAAAATATCCATAAAATTAGTTTTATTTTAATGTGTAGTGTTCGCGTAAATATAAGAAATCAAACTGATGTGTCTTACCTATTTTGAATAGCACCTTGCGCCAGTGGCGGATTAAAGAAGCTAGGAGCGGTATAGCCCCGGGCCCCACCTTGGGGGGGGGGCGCAGTCTCGAATAAAAATTAATTTTTTAAACCTGTTTCAAAGAATTTTGAATAAAAGTAAAATGTTTTCCAAAGAAAATAAGTTAACCAAAATTACCTACGATTTTTAATCTGCCATCGGTTAAATATTTGTTGGCCAACGACGGGTGTAAATCTGTGATGAAATAACGAAATAAGTGGTATTAATAGCGAATGGGTTGGGAAAAACTGCGGCTAACGCAGCAGCAGTTGGTCACGGTGGCGAACGGTTGGGGGAAATTTCTACCAGAGAATGTTAATGTTTATTACTTTGAAAATTCGGTTAAAAAGAAAACTATAAAAATATCGTATCAATGTTGTAAAGAGTACGAGGACCTCACCAGATCGCCAGTAAACGAAGCAGGGACGAAAAATGCCTAGATAGTGTAATGACAGAGAGATATCTCTGTGTGCCTAGTGCGAGATGTTGTTTTTACGCACTCGATACCGAGAAAGTTAACTACAATTTGTATGGAATAAAATCAGCGCCAACTAGTGGCAATAATCGGAATCACCATCGAGCATTGACTCTCATTCGTCAGTGAGAACGTTAACGCACGTGATTGGTTGGAGCGGCAATTTCGATCATTCGTGACGTAAAACTTTACGCGGTCGATATCGAAAAAGTATTCACCTAAATTTTTACAGTGAGAAGAGTGAGAATAATTGTTGAAGAGTTAATTTTATTTCGTTTTGTGAGAACGATATATAATTTAGGCAGGCCTTTTTTTCGTTAGGAGGATGTTTGCAGCCACAAAGACATTAATAGCTAATAATAATAGATGACTAATATTATAAAGCCAGTGTTGAAGCAAGAGCTTGTGCATATTTTAGTCCGTTGTTATACCCCAATGACAGGTAATTTAAGGATAGCTATTGCCTTTTCTAAGAAAGTATTTAAGTTTTTGTGTAAATAGCGTTTTATAAATCCAAGTTCCTACCATCACTATTTAATAATTAAGTAGGTAGTAAGTAAGTATCATAAGTTCACTTAACACTCAGTAACTAAAGTCCATTTACTGCTCCATAAATGTCACCATAAAATCATATTAGAATGAAAACATCTTCATGTTTTTTGCTTTCAATTTAATACTTTCAATAATTAACATTGAAATAAAATGGCTAATTCTCAATCTCATAATACTAACACAAACTGTCGAAACCTTGATCAAATTACGAAACATAAACAAATAGTTAATAATCAATGGTTATTCCGATTATTGCCACTAGTTGGAGCTGATTTTATTCTATACAAATCGTAGTTAACGTTCTCGATATCGAATGCGTAAAAACAAAATCTCGCACTAGGCACACAGATATCTAGGCGATGCGGGAACGAGTCTCCTCGTCGCAAATGTTTTCGCGTTTTCTAGTCGATATAAAATAAAATATATCGATCGGTTCACGAAAAATGTTGCAACGGCGCGGTGCCGCCGCTATAGCGTCAGCTATCTACCGCGTATTTTAATTCGCGGAAAACAACTCCTCCGCGGGAGTCTGCAGAAAGAGGGGAGACATCGCAGTCGCGACTAGGCACTAATGTTGTTTTGGTTTTTACTTGCGAACTAAATAAAGAAAGGTTCTGTTTCTAAGATTGGTTTCGTGAATATCAAAGTCTCTGTTTCTAATCATTCAAAATGCAGAAGAGAAAATATCCAAGTGGGGCAGAAAAACGCAAAGTGAAAAAAGCTAGAGAAAAATCAGTGAACGAGCTGCCGTCTGTAGTGATTTTTTTTAAATCACAGCAGACTAGAGGAGACTCCGATGTAGTGGAAGTGGAAAAAAAGTGTGATTCTGTTAGTGAAAGAAGTAGTATTGATACACCACGTAACAGCAACACAGGTATTTTAAACTATGATAAATATTTTAACAAACATATCGACGCTTGAGTGCAAGAAAGCAATATCTTAGCCGCGGTTTGAGGAAGGCTGTATATCAGCGGCAGCTTGAAGAAAGCCGAATCTCAGCTCGAGCTTATATTTCAGACTTTTCTATGTCAATTCTGTCCCAGATGCGATTGATTTTCTGCAAGTTTGTTATGGTAGTTTATCACGCTTTTAAAAGAACGCAGGACGACCACAACCAAATTGCGGAAAATCAATCACATCTGGGCTAGAAATGACAGAAATATATTACAACACGTAATATACAACACTTAACATAATTAACGCACTTTGAGCAAGTAGTTTGTTCCAAATCGTTTACTGAATCGATTTCTATCATTTTTAATATAGGTAATTTTTTTACCCCAAAAATAATTGAAACTACGTAATTTACAGTCACACTAAACCTGTACAGTCAAAACAAACTGAAATAGACCGTAACTCAAGGCAACAAGACTTTTAAAAGTGCAGTTTTATTTGTATTCATACAAATTCCGTCATTCAATACAGAATAAAGAAAATTGAAACTTATTTCAAGTATGTTAAAGTCTTTACAAATACAAAGTTTGGAGTGCCTTATAAAGTTCGTGGCGGCCAGGCCATTGACCTCCCAGATCACCTGATTTGACTTTTTTTATGGGGACGTATTAAAACATTAGTTTATTTTAGTGAGACAACAAAGTGCCGAGGGCCTAAAAATTGTAATTCTAACAGTGAACGATTTTAGAATAGTGAAAAATGACACTGAATTGCTTTCTAAATTATTTTCTTTCTTTTTTAAAACGTAACCTCCACACTAGGATTTTCTCTTGTATTGTGGGGGCAGTGAACAAACATAAATTGCACAAGGACAAATATCCAGAACCGGTACAATTATTTGTAGGCCATACAAATATTGTTCCGTGCAGGATTCGAACCCGCGGTCCTTAGCGCTGCAACACAATTGCTAGGCCACTGCGTCACGGAGCCGTGGTGGACATTTTGAAAATG